ACGAAGTTTTTGAAGAATAAAAATTGTAACGTTTTTGGGGTTATTCTGTAACCAGCTGGTAGTCGGTCGGTTGGTCGGTCGGTCGATCGGTCCGTTGCAGATTTCTTGTCCGGGAGATTACACAGAATGGTCTAGTCTTATACTAGACGTTCACAAATTAATTTACCTATTCAGCGCGTAAGAATAGGTAAATTAATTTGTGAACGTCTAGTATTAGAAAAATTGATAAGATAATATAACTATTTCACAGATTGTTTTGGAGTTTGGCTAGTGAGGAAAAATAATTCAAAATATTATTCAAGCATGAATTTGATAAAGAAAAATGCGCACAGTAAGGCATATGCAGTTAAAATGACAAAAAAAATATAAAGGCATATTATGCCTCGGAAATAGATATTGATTGAATTATTTAGAAATATCAAACATGTGTTTAATAATGTTCTATACAGTTGAGGAAAGTAGCGCTGACTGTGAAGTGAAGGTAGCAACATGTATAAACAAATAAGTATTTTAACTTACATACAAAATATCAATTCATTATAATTATGCCATTTGCCAAAAGAGCATAATAAGTAAAGATAGTTCACCTATATGGCAAATGAGGTTTTTTCGGAACTGTACCAAGATACCAAAATAGAAAGTTTTTGACGAATAAAAAAATGATAACGTTTCTGGGGCATAATTGGCCTTAATACAAATATTAGATGATATGCATACAAGTGAGAAGATAATTAGAATATCCCTTTTGTGTGTCCATGATATTGAGCGGCACAGTAACCAAGCCAATTTGACCCCATTTAGTAATTTGTCATAAAATATTTCTGATTATATATAGATATTTAAATATTGATTGCACATTTTATATGTTAGCTTCCTCTGAATCGGTCACATTTAAAACTTCACCAAATCATGCCGCTAGGTTTAAAGTCGGCCCAGTCGTAAAATTTACTTTGATTTAATAGACGTATATAGTAAAGCTGTCTGAACAGTCGTCTCCTCCGAAACTTCAGTGCTCAAAGCTGAACGTATTTGACACGTAATATTTCTTTGTGGTCCTTTACAACGTTATGAAAATAAAAATAATCACCATGGGGTCAACATTGATTCAATAGAATTTTATGGGAAAATAATTAATTATTGAAATATTAGCCTTAAACTGTTTAACATGTTTTTTTACTGGAGCCGATCAGTGTTCATTTAAGGCAAAATGCATGAAAAAGTTTTAAAACAGATTTGAAATGTGTTATTACAATCAATCGTTTGTTTATTTTTTACGGATTTAGCAAAAGTAAGAACATATGTGATATATTGTCAACGTTGTCTGTCATTCGTCTTATTTACATTTTATTTAAACTATCATTAATTTGCTTCCAGACTGCATGTGTTGAACAGAATAGCTGAAAATTTTAGTAATATCAATGAAAAAAAAATTCATTTCCAAAAACGTAAATAAAATTATGTAGAGGATGATTGAAAAAACGTAGACTTTTGCTGTAAATATTATATAGTTCATCCTATCGTTTAAACAAAAAAACATACATGGATAGGATATTAGTACAAAATATTGGAACATTAAGCCATTTAGCACAAATGAAGATTAGGCTGAGCCGAAATACATTTAAAGCTAACAAAACCTGACGGCTCTCTACAAAAGACCGGTAAGTCCATTTCAACATCATAAATTGCCGATTTCATCTTCATGATTCACAATTTTAACTTCGTGAATTCACGTTTTCAAAATACGGAATAATCATATCACAAACATAATATAAAATGAACACGGTTAAAGTAATATGCAATTTGATTTTTTAACACAAGAAACATGACAAACATCTATGCCTTACAATAAAAGAAACTGTGAAGAGACATAATAAACAACTCAGACAATCAGTGATCCGTTACCATTCATTTAGCGTTTTAGACAAGTACACAGGGTATTTCAAACATTCGCCGCACACTGTACAAATAACCTGCAATTTGTACAATGGGTCATCTTTCTGCTTATAGAATTACGGGTATATATAAATCACATTTATCTACAGCTTTCAAGTTGCTGAACCGCTATTTAAAGTTAAATAACTGAAATGTAAGAACTACAGAGATGCAAATAAATTTAAAACTAAATCGCAAGTCGTTTTCGACACAGGAAGGTATACCTCTTGTTGTGCCAGAGATATGTCACAGACAAAGTTCAAAGTGTAAAAACAATCAAATTGTTGCGCGCGACACGTTGTCTCAATATGGTGATCATTTTTGTGAAAAAGTTGTAAAATCCGACTTGAATTAACAAAGTTATGGGCCGAACACGATTTTGCTGCAAGGTCATGCTGTGACCTTGACCTTCAAGTTAGCTACCAAAATGTTACGCGCGACACATCGTCTCTATATGGTGATAATTTCTGTGAAATAGTTTTAAAATCCGACTTCAAATAACGAAGTTATGGGCCGGACACGATTTCGCTGCAATGTCATGCTGTCATGCTGTGACCTTGACCTTCAAGGTAGCGACCCAAATGTTGCGCGAAACATGTCGTCTCAATATGGTGATCATTTCTGTGAAATAATTTTAAAATCCAACTTCAAATAACAAAATTATGGGTCGGACACGATTTTGCTGCAAGGTCATACTGTGACCTTGACCTTTAAGATAGCCACCAAAATGTTGCGCGCGACACGTCGTATTAATATGGTGATCATTTCTGTGAAATTGTTGTAAAATCCGACCTTAAATAACAAAGTTTTGGGCCGGACACAATTTTGCTGCAAGGTCATGCTGTGACCTTGACCTTTAATGTAGCCACCAAAATGTTGCGCGCGAAACGTCGTCTTGATATGGTGATCATATAATAATTTTAAAATCCGACTTCAAATTAAAAAGGTATGGGCCGGACACGAATTTGTGACGTACGTACGGACGGACGGATGTTCTCACAGGACAGTAATTATGTGGCTACTCTATTGTTCTCTCTATTGTACTTTTTAGACACACAAAAGAAAATAGCCACATAAAAGCATTACGGAATGAATGACATCAAAGAGAAAGAACAGTTACCTATTGTCCCTCTAGCCACATAATTACTGTCCTGTGAGTGCGGACTGACGGACGGACGGACGGACTGACGGACTGACGGACGGACGGACAACCCGGCGACTATATGCTCCCCCCAATTTTTCGGGGAGCGTAATAAACAATTCATTGTTGAAAACAATTACATGTACTGTTTGAGGAATTCAGGATAGGTGTCTTGTTGAAGCGCTTAAGAAAATAGTCATTGTTTCCCCAATTATGAGTCAAATGACCTTAGTCGATAACTATGTAGTTAAAATACATACGACGTCTACGTCGATTTTATCTCGTAGATAGAAACTCTTAAGAAAAGAGGAGTAAATTTTGATACTTGAATATATAATGTTGACATAATACCAATAAATTAAAACCACACTGTCCTTTTGACAATATGTGGAATGTTCAAATATGAATGCATGTATAACGTTATATTGTTCAATATTGCGAAAATTACGAGAACATGACGGGTATTGGTTAGGTATACATGTTAGCTTTACATTGATTCCATATTAAATAATACATATCGTTCTGTTTAGCTGCGTTTAAAGCGCACTATACATTGTCTAAATATTTAACCTAAAATACATATTTTGCATTTTGGTAAACTGCATAAAATTTGAAAAAGTGTTCTTTAGTAAATATTGGGACAACAAGTCGTCAGTATATATCAGTATATATCTTTGCACAAAAGTATTTGCTATGCAACTCTATAATGAGTATTTACATAAGTATAAACAACAACTAACATTCACGATATAGGATTTGATCTTATGACATTTTCACCGGCACAAAATCATCACTTTTCAATTACTAGTATTCTCAACATCACTTATTCCGCGTCATCACTTATTTCACGTTAATGGCATATTTTCATGTGACCAGAATTGACGTATTTTATTCAGACACCTATACAACAAAGTTTTTGTGCAAAATAGTTTAAATCTCTAGATTTTTGTGTAAACAGAACAACGTTTTACAAATTTCTGCAAAAAGCAACAACAGTCCGTTTAATTTGTGGGTATGCCTGAAACAATCATCATTTTCTTAATGTTTTTTTTTGTTGAAAAAAATAAATTTTGAGTTATAAAATAAGGATAATTTTAATATTTAAAATCAAGCAAAATAACATGTAGAAAGTTTAACTTAAACAAGAAAAAAACTGAAAAATAACACCATTACCGCGATTTAAATGATAACATTTTGTTTTCAAAATGGCTGACATATAGTCTAGGTTTTGTCCATCAAAATTGACTTTGACTGAATATATTGTTGTTTCCTTGTGTCATGTTATAGCTTATAACAAGTTTTGTACCATAAGTTTCATTACCATTCAGTACCATCAGTTGGTTTCAAAGCGTTAAGTACCGTGAACTTAGAGGAGCACAGTATACTTGTTAACTATTGAACCTTAACTTCTATGATTTTAGCAATTTTGATATAAACATTTTTTATAAAATATGTTCACTCTGGCTTGTGGTCACATGTAATCCAAAATACGTTCGACCGTGAGATAAACACATATATTTGTACTGCTACTTTTTTAGCTGCTACAGATATCTATATAATTTGATTAGTGTGAGAAATAATTATATGTCATCAAGGCATAAATTTGGTTAAGACAATTAATAGTTAATTGGTATATTTAATTGATATGAAAATGTTGAAATAATCATAATACATAATTTAGATTGTATACTTATAACTAAACCATTACACAATCAGGGGAATAAAGCAATGATTATTAAAATACATTCTATTGAAAATATAAATCCTTACTATTTTAAGTTGTTTGTCAATAATGAAAAAGGCACAGTTATCAAGCCAATAAAACACAAACCGAAATTGCAATTTGCATCATTGGCTTTTTCTTCATAAAATATTATTTAATTCATAGTTTTCACCATTCATATAAATATTGACTTTATTCTTGAAGTTCGATTGGTGAATGGCTCACATCCATATGAAGGGAGACTGGAAGTATTGCATGATGGGTCTTGGGGTACAGTATGCGATGATGACTTTACAGCGCAGTCTGCAACAGTTGTTTGCAAGATGTTAAATTATCCACAGTAAGTAAGAAAAACGACACTAACGTATTTCTCGATATGTTAACATACATGTTATATAGAAAGAATGTCTTTAATTTCAAACGAATGGATTAAGTTCAAAGGTAATAAAGTGTTATTTGACTATTCAGAAAATATAAAATTCAGCCAATCCTTTGTCGCTAGTCCGTTAATAATCATGTTTACTAATGGAAAGGAACAAACCATCAGATAATTATTGATCCTGTAACACAATTTTTTCATGCTTTTATGTCATAAATATGATGCTCAAATTAGGAGTTGTCAATATAGTAAGTTCCAATAAGCATCATTTATAAAGATATTACCCAATTTAACATTTAATGTAAATAAAGGGAGGTAATTAGAAATTTATTTTCTATACATTCTAAGTCAAATTTTCCAATAAGAAATGAATGCATGTAATTTATTGATTAAATATAATGTGCACAAACATTTGCAGTACACTTTTTACATATTCTTCGATGTTTGAAAATTGTTTTATTTGCATAATTGTACATATATATAATTTTTTGCAAGTGTGGGTTACATACAGTAACAATATCAATCACAAAACATACATGATCTTTAAAATCAGGCCACAGTTTGTTCATAGAATTTTAACTGTATCCTCGATTTTGTTCAGACACAAATTTAAGCAAACATGTATTGATTTCATAACCTTCATATTCAAATCATGTCGATATTTAGCTCATTTGTACATTAATTTACGTTCATACTATAACGGGAAAGTGCATTAAAAGTGGCCTTAATACCTCACATGTGATACAGTTTAAGGAAGACCAAAATTAAATTAAAATACATTTTGAAGTTATTTATCCTTAACGCTGAAACAAACTTTTCAAACGTGTTTGTTTAATGCTAAATACATAGTAAAGCAGTTATGTTTAATTTGAAAAGAAATGTTTTATTTCCATAGGCAAACATGTTTAGATTCAAGTGAATGACTGATGTCATGAACTAGTATATCATGATAAAAACGACAGTTATATTATTTTTAGAGGAATATATTTTCGAATGATTTTTAATTCAAATTTCACCACTTCATTTAAATGTTGAATACTGATTTAGCCCGTGCTAAAGGGCGCGCACGGTAACTTACAATTTCCAGGCTAATTCAAACCGAGTCTGCAACATTTTTAATTTTGCCGTTTTGTGTGTTCTTAAAGGATTCTGTTTTTCTGTTTTTTTTAGTACTAATCCTTTGGTATTTATGTCCGCATATTTCGGCGCCGGAAAATTGCCAATACACTTTGACGATGTTGAGTGTTCGGGCACTGAGATAAGCTTACTGCAATGTTCACATACAAGTTGGGGATCAAATAATTGCAGTCATAGTGAAGATGTCGGCATATCATGTACACAAGGTAATCTTTCTAAAATATGATTGAAAAGAAATATTATTTAGAATACGATATTTTAGTTATATTGACAATTTAAAGTCGGCAATTTACAGAAGAAAAATATGGGTCACCTTTAACACATTACATAATGATGGTTGAACTATCCTAGAGCAACAGAAACCTGCACTTTGACACTAAATGTGAAAGTTGTCATCTCTTTTATAGTGTAGAAGGTTCTATACTGAACTACAAGGTATTTGTTATCATAAAGCTTACTCTTTAAAACAAAAGTGTTGTCCCAATAATCTGCGACAAGGGTGTTTTGTACGAATTTGATATTTTATAAGCTCATACAATTGAAACATTTTCAAAAAAGTACATAAAAAAATAACAGCAAACAACACGATGAATAATGATGAAATAAACACCATGGCAACTAAGTGAATCACGACGCACGTCAAAAGTCAAAGACGACGTGAGCGCCTTTCTCAAATACTTTCCGTTGTATTCAGTGCATAAACAGTGCCGCTTTTTCCATGAATCGTCAATAACAGACTTAAACCATGTGTTTCTTACTCCTTGTTTAATGTATAATCAAAAACGATAAACGATTGAAGAGATAAAGATATTAATACACATATTATGTAAGTATCTAGTCTAACAGACAACCTGAAAAATATTTAAAATTGTAATGTATATTTGTATTAGGAAAAGAGATTAAAGATATATGGCAAAAAAATGTTGTCCCTGATAAATACAATATCTACATCATCACTCAATATTTAAACTAAAACCTGACTTTCTTCACAACTTTGCATTTATTTGGTCGAATTCAATGTTCATGAACCAGCTTATATTATTCATATCTTCTTTAGAAATAACTTATTACGGGCTTCCAAGTCGCCCCGTACATTTATTCAGGGATGTTATATTTACGATCCTTAAATATCGTTCTTCATGTCATCATTGATGTGCTTGTGGTATTTTAATTCTTTCTTTTCGGCCATTTTCTAGTTGGTTGGTTCCAGTATGCTGTATAATCACCATTAGGATATGTACCCTGCTTTTTAAATTTGTCTTTGACAGCTTATCTGTGATATGCAGGCTTCAAAACCTCTAATCCACTTTCAAAAATCTACTTTATTTAGATCCGACCATTGTTTTCTTGTTTAGGGACCATGCATTCTTTTACTTGAAAACCATACGCCGCTTTTTATGCACTGATGTATCGCATTAAAGGTTCTATGATAACCGCCGTATGAACACATCTGCGGATGTTTATCAATTCAAAATTTCAATATAACCATGATAAAATGTTGAATTCTGCTTAAGCCGGTACTAGAGTGCCTGGACGGTAAATTGCACTTTCGAGTACGGTCCATGAACAGGCTCAATCAAACCGAGCCTGCAACATTTTCAATTTTGTCGTTTTGTGCGTTCTTTGGGATTCTTTATTTCTCTCTATTTCACATTTGCCTTTATTCCCCTGAAAGAGTTTTTTAATATATCAAACGATTCGTAAGTCCATATATACTGTTCTTTATATGGCAAAGTTGATATTTACAACTATCCTAACCATGAATAGCTTGTTAGTCCCCTTTCGGTTTAAACGGAAGGGACTTTAGGTTTACCGTTAGTCCATCCGTATGTCCGTCCACAAAGCTGGATCCCTTGATAATGCAAAAAAGTATTGAAACATAATTTCATGAAACTTGATATATATAGATGGCAGTCGGGAAATAATGCACGTCTTTTTCTTTTCTTCCTATGTTGAAAACTTTGGTTGCTATGGCAAGAAATATACTGAAAACATGGCAAAGAGCTAGGTTCACTAACCATGGATTTTTGCCCAAGATTTTGGCAAAAAATAATTTAATGAAAAGTTCTTGTTTTTAGGTTTTATTTATAAGTTCAATCCTTAAACTGTTAAAAAGTTATGAATTTATAGACATATGTTTACATTTAGTATGATTTATTTTCTATGGAAATACCCCTATTTCCAGCAAAATTAGGAAAATTCACGTATTTTTGGTGTTTTAAACGAAAATTAAAGTATCAGCACAGTCCAGCCCCAACAAAATCATTACACCATTGTGTTGTAATGTATCAAAGGCTTCAACTATATCAATATAAAGTTGGGGCTTGCCTGTGCTCTATTCCAAAATAAGATTTTTATCTAATATCTAAACGTCATTTTCTGGCATTAATTTCAGTAAATGCAAATCATGGAGCATGTATATTGCACTCAACATTATTAATTTTTATTCTAAGTTGTTGAAATATGATTCATAACATATATTTTAATAAATGTTTGCAGGAAAATCATTTCTAGTAAATTAAAGGCACTTTCACTAAAATAAGTACGATTATGTTTTGGTACGAGTTCGACGGTTTCCACTGTAACGGTTGTAAACAAAACTCTGGCAGGTTAAAAGAATTCCCAGCAAACACAGGACGTCATACTGACGTCAGATTTAAGTCAGGTTCTGACGTCGGATGACGGTCGGAAAAACGGTCGGATTTGAAAGTTTTTTTGACGTAATAATCTGACGTCAGATAGATGTCAGGATCTTACCATTATCTAACTATTTCTGACCAATATCTAACCATTTTCCGACCAAAATCTGACCGTTATCTAACCAGTTTCTGACCATTTTCCGACCTCAATCTGACCATTTTCCAACCTAAATCTAACCAGTTTCTGATCAATTTCCGACCTCAATCTGACCATTTTCCGATCTTAATCTTAACCTTTTTCTGCCCTAAACCTGACCATTTTCTGACCTTAATCTGATCATTTCCCTAATCCTCCTTGTTTACAATATTATAAATATTTTCTGGCTAATCCTGATTTGATCAAATGTAATGTAACTCATTCTTTTAAGTAACTTTCACTCCAATGAAATGTATAACAAAAAACATAAAGCAAAAATATGTTTTTATGGGGTTTTTTTTATTTAAGATAAAAGTTGCAATTTAAAGCTGATACATACAGTTTTAGTTAATTCTGCAAGGCTAAATACTTTTCATAAACTAAACTAAATAAAACTTTTACGTAAAATAAGTTAATAATTAAACAAAAAGTATTACAAAAACAATGACATAAATGAAACTAAGAAATCATATACAAATATTAATGATCTAAACAATGTATGTATATTTCTATCAAAGTTTGCCTTATCAAACAAAATAATGAAAATATTATAATTTTAAGAAAAGTTAAACGATTTCGGATAATAATATTTGAAGCAATTAATGACAGATATTCAGTATTTTAACTATATTTTTACAGCATTACTAAAACATTTAGTGGTATTTTTCATATTTTGACCTCCTTTTGTCACTAACGTATAAATTACTTCCTTTTAGTTACTTCACAAAGTTATACACAAATGTACTTTTAAATATCCACGAGAATTAGCACGAATTTGGAGGTGTGATGCCTTTAGATATATGACCTTCTCTCACCACCCCTCGTCTGTCCGGAGGATGTAACATGTTAATGTCCGATGGCGTTTGTGATATCATTTTCACTGAAAAAAAAGAAATTTATGAAAATTAGAAAAATTACAAGCAAAAATTTTTTCATGGTTATCTGCCCTTATGAAATTTTGAAAGTTATCTTAAATTAATGAACAACTTTGCTAGCTTTTCAAAAGTGAGCTTTCACAAAAATTAAAAGTAAACATAAATACTGAATATTAAAAAAAAACGCTTTAAAACTCCAGTTTTGTATGGATTATAGTATGTAATAGAATTTACAAAATCTTACTTTCCAATGATTCATGTTTCTTTCTACATTATCACGTATTTCTGCCCCTCCGACCTTTGAGAGCATGTCAAACGCTTGAACTACCTGAAAAGAAAATTATATTCTAACTTATGTATATTCTACTTTTGAAATAGAACAGTTACGCAAGTCTTAAATTTTTCATAGTTTCAAATTAAAGAGTGTTTAGAAATTGTTGATAATAAATGTATGTTTATGTACTACGTTTTGTTAAAAAGCTTATGTTGTTTTGATTACATTTTTTCCTTCTAATGATTATATGAAGCCTCATTCTATCTTACATAATCAATCAATTCGCTCTTTCATTTATTTCCCGTTCATTTATTAGAATGATATTAAAATCTGGTGTAAAACACAATAAGGTAAGATTTATTCTGATCAAAAATTGGACCGTTTGGGAAAATACCAAAATGTCTGAAACCGAAACGTCTTGGGTTATTTAGGACCGAAACGTCTTGGTCCGAAATGCTCGAAATCGTATCAATTCATTCTCAATTCTCAGATTTTAAGTGACAAAAAAATCATAGTTTAACAAGAATTTGAATACTAAGCATTCTCTTTGGTTATACTGACAGGCACATTATAAACTCTTCACGAGCAGAGTTAAAACATGCCAAATTTGAAATGATTAATTATCAAACATTATCGCGAATTTGTGTGACATTTTGCTTCAACTGTTCAAATAATGATAATTAAATCTAAGAATGCATGCAATTATTTTTCAAATACAAAATAGAAATAAATTTACATAAATTGAACTGACCTTTTTGTTCAAGAAAATATGGAATATTCACTTTATCAATGCATCCCGATTCCTGACATACGAAACGCCTACGAATTTGAATTTCCCATCCACGTGGCTGCAGTGTAGATTCGAATTATAATTATGTTTTCTTTCCTTTTTCCTGTCACTATGATTAAATTTTAAAGAACTATTAAAAACTCGTGATTTTGATACATATTATGTACCACAAATGATGATACTGTAACGTTAAATGATTGGAACTCGTTAACACATCTGTGGCTATAAATAGATTTCATAACAATAACACATGTAATTAACCTATATACAGCGCCACCTATATGTTTTATTAGGTTGCAGCGCCGCGCACGTGGTCTTCGAAAGGCACTTGTATATATATTTACACTTAATTTGTAAGCCAAATAACATTTTAAAAAAAGTTTAAATGATTACAACAGCGAATAAGGATTACCTTTCGTTAATTTTTTACCTACAGTCAAGAAACCGACCAGAACCTGACGTTAGTACGACGTCAAAAAGAAACGTCTAATAGACATCGGATTTTGGACGTCAGATTTACGTCGTATTTTGGTCGCCGACGTCGAGACCAAAATCTGACAGTAATCTGACGTTATTTTAACGTCATGTGTTTGCTGGGTTATATGTAAACGCTTATAAATAAATGCTGAAATTCTACTTATGCCTTAAATATTTCATTCGTAGAATTAGCAAGGTGTTGTTATGTAATTTTATTGATTCATTGAAAGAAGTTATGCTGTTCAAGCTATTTTATTGCTGAATACTCGATCTGGGTCCGGTTCTTTCGCCCTCACAAAAAAAACAACAACAACAACAAACAACTGTGGTTGTTTAAACACAGTGATTAAGAGGTTTTTATGTCTTTTTAAAAGGTAGATAAGAAGAATTCAATTTACTTTGTGAAAATAAAATTATCGCAAGTCTCAAAATAATTCAAAGATACTGTTTATAGAGTATTTAAACTTTATAATTCCACATCGTCTGCATTGATGTATGTTAAATGATGTCATAACATCCCGGAATGTGGCATTAGCTCAGTGGTAGCATGGGAACCTCTCACCCAGGAGAATTGAGTTCAAAACCTTGATCATGAACTATTTCTATTATTTTTTTTTTCGTTTTAATAATTAATAAAATAGATAGTGCTTTTTCAGTAAATAATATGTTATTTCATTAATGTATTTATTCCTTCAGATTTTAAGTCAGTGCTATTTCATAGTTATTAAGGTATTAAAGATTTGTTAGACATTTAATTGCTTAAAAATTCAACAAGAAGTTTCAAATCTTATTAATTTAGTATTATTCTCATTAAAAAATATTCACAAGAAATTGCCAAAGCAGGAAGTATGTTAGGAGTCAACGGACGAAATGTCTTCAGTACACTTTCCCAGGATGAGAAAAAAGCATGTTATTAAGCTCTAGCTGTTTCCAAGAATAAATAGACAGAAAGTCTTGACTTGTCCTTTTTCACAATTCAAAAGGATCCTTTTATTTTGTGCACGAAATTGCAGAGCATACATGTAAGCAGCCATAACTACATGAATTGGATTATCTACACGAATGACAGCATTGATGTGTATTACTGCCTTTCTTATGGCTGGTGCAGACGTAGTTTGAATGTGTTCCGATGTCTCCACCGTTACATGGTATCTCGCATATGGACACCATGAGAAGTTGTGAGACTCCGTCAGGAGTGAGAAAATGGGCTGATAATCTTGCTGATCATGTAGCGGTATTTTGAAATTGATAGCCATTCAATACAGTGTGAAAGAGAATCGTTAAAAGTAACAGTAAAAGAGACAATGCTAAATTAAATTTTTGATTGTAGGCTTCCTTATGTTAAGTGTTTAATTTACACTCATTATGTAGATGTAAAGGCATATTGGAATGATATAAACCAAATCTTTACTTAGAGTTGTTTTATGTCACATAAATTATGAATACATGTAAATAAATGTTTTATGCCCTCGAAGGATGGCATATTAAAATCGAACCGTACGTCTGTCAGTCTGTCATTCCGTCAGTCATTCAGGCTTTATATATATATAGACAGTGGTGGTCATGTCCGCTCTGATTCAGTATGCATGAAAGGATTTTAATTTTTCTTTCATATATGAAATAATCATACATGTATGGTGTGTCGCGAACAAGACTGGTTTCTATGACTTAGGTCCAGGTAATTGCGGGGGTTCAAACTTTGTTAATTTTGATATTAATATACATATAGGCAGATATGGTCGTGTCTGCTCTGAAAATAATATGCATGAAAGGGTTATATTTTTTATTTCACATATCAAATTATCATAAATGTATGATGTGTTGCCCTTAAGACCCGTGTTCCTACGCCTTAGTTTAAGGTCACTGCTGGGGTTTAAACTTTTTCAATATTTATGTTATATACATATAAATGGTGGTTGTTGTGTCCGCTCTGTAACTTCCGTATACATGAAAGTTTCAATTTTCATTTAAAAATATAAAGTCACCATAGATGGACAATGTGTTGTGAACAAGACCTAGGTTTCTTTGTATAACTTATAGTTCACTGCTGGGGTTCAAACTTTGTCAATTTTTACCACCACACTTAACATGTAATAGTTGGTTTAGAACTAGAATCCTTCAGGGGCATTTGTCATGTTCTGTGACAGCTCTTGTTTTTTCTCAGTTCTCATATCGTCATGGATCATTACATTACAATTGTAATAAAAATGTCTGATTTCCATAATTATAAATAACACAAATCGTTTTCTGGATTTGGCTGTATCATAATTCATAAAAGAAAATAGTATCGAATTTGCAGTTCAGTATCAAATATTACGTATAGAAAGAGCATACAGTCAAACATTATTTTTACTTGACAAAAAAATTCTAACGTACTTTTATATCTATAAATTTACTTAATTTAGGCGGACTTTTACACTATACATTGGAATAAGTCAACAACTCCTAGTATTTACATTATACTATTTGCTTACATGTATATAGTTACTCAGTGTTAGTTTAGTTAGGTTAGACAGAAATACCTATCTGTTTTGTGTTATTATGATATAATAATAATAATAATAATTATCATTATCATAATTATTATTATTATTATTATTATTATTATTATTATTATTATTATTATGTTCAACGTCCTTGTCTAAAGACTGACTAAAAAGGCCGTTAAAATTGCGATTGATTCTATACACCCTTATTTTAAGCTTAATGTAAGAAGTAGATTAATATAACAAGCAAATTAGACATTTATTATTAAAAAATGAACAAACTTACATTATTTATAAAAGTAAAAATAAATACATTTAGTTAGGCGAAAAATAATATGCATGCACATTTTTATTTCTAAATATCCGAATTTGGAATATCCGAAACGAGTCCCATTTATCTTTTATATTAGTTTTGTGACACACTAGTCTAATTTTAACTAAACTATAATTTTGTTTACAATATATAAGAAATATATTGCTATCTTTATGAGTTTAATTCAGTCAAACACACAAATTTATTAGTCTTGTATGATTATTGTCGTCAAATTTGTGATTTAATTGAATTAAGCAGGTGCTCTAATTATGACGTCATTATGTCGTCATAGTAACCAGAAATGCCTAATAAATGTCTATTTTGAAAATGTAACACATTGTACTATACACCTTTAGGTTTTTATCAATATCTAAGATGGGGCCATTTTTGGTGCTTAGTGAACCTTGCTCTTTAACACATATTTCTGATCATCAACCACATCAAATGTGACAAGGATCACAATTTTAAAACAAAAATTATCGAATTACAACCCACCCACTTGAATTAAGAGTTTTCATGAAAAAAAAGTTTTTTTATTGCTAACTTCTCTTAATTTACTTCAAACTTCATATCTATGTATTTTATAATATGTATCACTAAAATCATTTGTGAGAAGGTTCCATACTCTAGCTTGACTATTTCCAGAATTATGTCCACCTTAAACTTAGATTTTGTTCAAAAAAATTATTTTTAACTCAAACTTTTTCATTTCTTATAGCATTTTCTTCAAATTTCCACATCATAATAATATGACAAGGGTTATAAATCTAGCGTCCATATCTCCAGAATTATCTCCTCCATAAACTGTCTGTTTTTTTGTTAATTTTCTTAATTTTAAATATACATTCATTACCTTCATCATATGCGATTAGATTAATTAGTCATTAACTTGAACTTGAATTTTTTTTAAAAACTGTTCTTTCCTTTTTTATTTTCTTCTTTAATACTGTAAAATGTATATTTGAAAATTGTTATTTTTCAGTGACTGACAATAACGTTCATGTACTTGATGATATATTAAATATAGAGTCTTTACTAGTCTTTGTCCATAATATTGACTGTGGAAAAGTGACCAAGGCAATTGCCTGGTCATTTATCATAAAACATTATTGTATAAATAACTTTTCTTGTATTCTTGAAGTGCGATTGGTAAATGGGTTTAACCAATATGAAGGGAGACTAGAAGTATGGCATGAGGAGTCTTGGGGAACAGTATGCGATGATGAGTTTGGTACGCTGTCGGCAAGTGTTGTTTGTAAGATGTTGGAATATCAACAGTAAGTATAAAACGATATAAGCTTATTTATGTATTACAGTGTAACTTCTGAAAACCGAACACCTGTGGGACTAGCCAAAAAGTTCGCAATTTGGAAGTTTCCGGAATTCAGAAGTTCGTATTTATCTGGACAAGTAGAAACATTATATTAATATTGAACACCAATTGTTTAAGACATGATGAAAAATATAGAAAGCTTATTAAATTCATAAAATGGCAAAATAGTAGGACTTTTAAAAAGTTATAAATACATTGTATATTAAATTTCATTATCACCTATAACTAAATTTGTTGATATAACAACATAATGTCATGTTGTACCAGCTAATAATAACCTTACTCTTTTGTTTTTTCATCACAATATACTTCTCTTTTTTTAATTTTTACACTTCAATCAAATGTTTGACATGCTTAAAAAGTTGTGATTGTAAGGTGTTGATTGTAAGGTTTTGAGGTGTCAAAATAAATGGTTTCTGCTAATTGGAAGATACTGACATTTTGAAAGTTTTATAATCTCATAATATTTTTTCAAACCTTTTTTTAAATTTCGGATTTCGGAAGCAAATTTGAATTGATTTCACCAGTTTAACCAGAAAATCTTTCGGAATTCAGAATATAGCAGTTCCGGAATTCAGAGGTATTTATTACATTGAAAATTGAAAGAGAAATTTCGGGACCCTGAAAAATGTTCGGATTTCAGAAGTTTCCGGATTTTAGAAGTTCCGGAATTCAGAAGTTACACTGTATGTAGCAATGCATGTTATACAGAGTACATGTCCTTTCAATGTCTGGAATTAAAAGTTACATAAATCATGCCGATGGTAAAAAAACGTCACCCAAGTTCTACCGAAGTTTACATAGATTTGTAATTAAAACATGTCAAAAACTTCAACACCCGTTGCATGTGGCATTACCTTTAATTTTCCAACAAAACTAACTTAAATCATGCCACTAGGTTAAAAATTGGCCCCGCCTTAAGATTTACTTAGTGTTTATAAACGTTTATTGTAAACATATCTGAAAAATATTTTCTTCCGAAATTTCAGTGCTCATAGCAAACTTATTTGACAAGTGTTACATTACTAGGTAATAAAAATAATTCCCCTGGGATTAAAATCCGTTAAAAGAGACTGATATATGAACATAACACCCAGTATAGTCTTTATTTTTTAATTAACAATTGCAATAGGAATTGACATTCAGACTTGGGAAGCAATGCACATTAACAGTTGTATCAATATCAACCCTGTGATACAGTGTTATGTTGGAAGACCAGTTGTTTGTATTTATGTTCTATAACCACACATTGATATTAAAGAGATTTACTGATTTGTATGTTGTGTTAAAAATCGACTATTATTATTTATCATTTTAGTACTAATCCCCTGGTATTTGGGTCCGCAAAATTCGGCGCTGGAATATTACCGATGCATTTGGACGATGTTAAGTGTACGGGAACTGAAATAAGCTTATCTCAATGTCCACATAGAGAATGGGGATCTAATAATTGTGGTCATGGTGAAGATGTCGGCATATCATGTACTCCTGGTAATTCTTTAAAAACTATCATTAAAATGATTTTTTTTCTTTTGAAACTTATCATTTAACCATATCTCTGCACATAATAGATTTTGATTAAACTGGTTTGCTGTTTAACAAAATTTCGACCGCAGCATGAAGTAACATTATTCATATAGAAAAATTAAGTAGAAGAAATTATCGTTTAGCATGAACGGATAAACGTGTATTAAGATTTTAAATATAAACCTAAACCTTTCTTACTTTATGGAATAAATCTTTATTCATTTGCACTTTGAGACATTGCTATATTTATTTAGAAGCTATATAACTATCATTTTCTTTAGAAATTTGTCATTCTATATGTATGAGCGGCTGAATGTATCTTGATACGGGTCACTTCATAGAATATCAAAACTTTTGTCAACTGAACTTCGAAACGTTTAGATAAATTTTTAACATACTGATTTTAGTTTCGTTAAATAAGCCCTGTTTCAGAGACCTTTTTGAAACTTTGCTTTACTGACATTTATAAAACCCATGTTTTACTGTTTATTTTTAGCCTTGAATCAAATAGTAAGACAAACAGTTATGCTTTCTCATTATGTATGTCAATAAAACTGATCGCAGTTAACTTCATGTATGTGGCTCAAATCGACACTTCACTTAATATATTTGTTTTTCCACATGTGTTCGTTGGGGTAGAAGTCCAAAAGTGGTCACTGAAATAGGACCTAAATAATTCTGAAAATGGAATGGTTTGAATGATCTCTCATAATATGTAGTAGAACAAAATGTACACTTCAATACTTCAAAGTATGATGGTAGAACTATCCTTATAGCGGATGAAACTGGTACTTTTAAAGGTACTTTGGTAGTCTAGTAAGTTCTTTATCTAACAACAAGTTATTGGCATTGGCTTATCAAAATGCTAACTACCTTAAACAAATTTAATAATTATGTTGTTAAAAGACGCAAAACAATACATACATTAATAGACATTATTTGTACATTAAAGTTTGAACTTAGTTATTACAAACACTGTTAGTTTAACAGATTTAGCACAAGTGAGTACATACATTGCTGAGAGGTGAGCTGTTATGATGCTGTCCGTCATTCAGCGTTATTCATATCTTAATTAAACAACAAATCCTCCTAAAAATCATGTTGGACTTTACACAGGAACAATCTATAGGTGGTCTTCTACAAATACTAAAATTCGGTCCCAGTCTGCAGCACGTGTTGATCAGAATAGCTAAAAAGACTATTTTTAGTTTAAGAAATAAACGCAAAAGTGTATGATTTATTTACACAAATGTAAAATTTAATGAAATTTTGAAGAGTGATGATCTAAAATAAAGAATATTTTTGCTGTTAATATTATATATTTCATCTTTTCGCATAAAAAATAACACCATCATGAATGGAAATATGTACGGTGGCATGTGTGTGTTTTTATTTATCTCGTGGCCACGAGATACTATGTCGTGGCCACGAGTTACTAAGTCGTGGCCAAGAGAGAGCTAAGTCGTGGCCACGAAATACTTTGTCGTGGCCACGATATAGCTATGTCGTGGCCACGAGATACTATGTCGTGGCCACGAGATGCTAAGTTGTGGCCACGAGATAGCTAACTCGTGGCCACGAGTTACTAAGTCGTGGCCATGAGATAGCTAAGTCGTGGCCACCAGATACTATGTCGTGGTCACGAGATAGCTAAGTCGTGGCCACGAGATAAATAACCAATCAGATAACACCATTTATATGAATTTCCCTAATTAACTAGACATGTGGTATAGTACAAGGATGTCCCTACTTCACCAGCCTGTAAAAGTGCCATTTACACAACTTATTGACTAGTCAATAATTGTGCATTTAGCGTCACTGTGACCCTAACTTTTGACCAAATGACCTCGAAATTATTAGATGTCATCTACTGATCATGTGCAATGATCTTTTTTGGTTATATAAACCATGGCTTATCCCTTCTTACTTATTCATCAGACAAGGATTTTACCTTATAGGCTATCTACTGTTCATGGACAATGTCCCTTCCAAATAGAATAAACCAGGACTTATTCCGTCTCATGTTATCGTATAAACAAGGTTAACAGGCCGTAGTACGTACAATTACGTTAGTACTGACCAATTCGATCACAAAATTGTCCCAACAAAGAGCTATAGTCACAATTAATGACTGATGGGCCTTGGAAGGTGACTTTCTAATATGATCCTAAAGACAAGTTCAAAGTGAATATCTTCAGTATTTTCAAAGATTTATGTTGCATGTAAAAGTAAATTGTTAAGTTTAAAAAATTCATATGTAAAGTGTATTCTTAGTAAATCGTAGCCACGACATAGTATCTCGTGGCCACGACTTAGTAACTCGTAGCCACGACATAGTATCTCGTGGCGACGACTTAGTAACTCGTGGCCAAGACATAGTATCTTGTGGCCACTCCTTAGTAAACTCGTGGCCACGACTAAGCTATCTCGTGGCCACGACTTAGTTACTCGAGGGCACCACAAAGTACCTAGTGGCCACGACTTAGTAACTCGTGGCCACCACATAGTAACTCGTGGCCACGACTAAGCTATCTCGTGGCCACGACTAAGTAACTCGTGGCCACGACTTAGCTATCTCGTGACCACGACTTATTATTTCGTGGCCACGACATATTATCTCGTGGCCACGACTTAGCTATCTCGTGGCCATGACTTAGTAACTCGTGACCACGACTAAGCTATTTCGTGGCCACGACTTAGTTACTCGTGGCCACGACATAATATCTCATAGCGACGACTTAGTAATTCGGTGCCAAGACATAGTATCTCGTGGCCACGACTTAGCTATCTTGTGGCCACGACTTAGTAAACTCGTGGCCACGACATAGTATCTCGTGGCCAAGACTGAGCTATCTCGTGGCCACGACTTAGTAACTCGTGGCTATGTCATAGTATCTCGTAGCCACGAGATAAATAGAAATACACACATGTCACCTTTGTGCCACCGTAAATATGTATTGCATATTCATACTTAATAATACAAACAAATAGTAATTGAAAACAGACATACAAAACAAAATGGTAACTATGGCCTCGATGCTCATTTCATAACGTCGTTTACATCATACTTTCTATTTTTAGATGCCATTTCCTTTAAATAAATAGGCGACTATCTGTTCATATTGTTTAATCAAATTGATTTCAGTATTTCTCGATGGCAATTAATATGTATTGGAAAATGACTGTAATCAAGTGTTGGTTATACAATTCGACACTTTTACTTTTAGCTGCATGTAGATCCTGAGGGTATCAGAACCGCATTTTTGTGTCGCCTCTACGGAGTAGTGGCGACATATAGGGATCACTTCTCCGTCGTCTGTCTGTCCGTCTGTCCGTCCGCCACAAAACTTGTCCGGACTACTCCTCATAAACTACTGGTGCAATTTCATCGAAACTTTACAGGAATGATCAGTACCAAGTCTAGTTGTGCATATTGTCAGTATTTTTTGGTTCAATGATTTTTGTCAGAGTTATGGCCCTTTAATAATTTTTATTTTTAAAGTTTGTCCGGACTACTTCTCTTATACCACTAATGCAATTTCAATGAAACTTTACAGGATTGACCGGTAGCTCAAGTCCTTGCGCATATTGCACGGGTTTTCCGGTTGAATGATTATGGCCCTTTGATAAAAAGGTGTTTTTTCTGTGTGTTGCCAGATACACAAAAGCTTGTCCGGACTACCCTTCATAAAGTACTGGTGCAATTTTTTCCAAACTTTACAGGAATGATCAGTACCAAGTCTAGTTGTGCACTGTCCGTCTGTCTGTCCGTTTGTCACAAAACTTTCCGACATGAAATTGGCCATCATGAGGCGACACATGTGATCACTGATCACTCTTGTCTTAACTGTTTCTCTATGGATTAATATAAACCAAAATAAACCGAAGCCACGATAGGAGGATACGAATTGGTTGATATGATTGTGTTGTATACATGAGCCTAGTTGTTCAAAACTATGGTGAATTTTAACGACAAATTAACGTAACTATTGATAAATTTTAACATTTTCGTTGGCTAACGAAATATCAAAATTTGAGTTGTTCAGATCTATGTTAAAATTTTCGTTTTTAACGATGCGTTAAAGTGCTTAACGTTTACTTAACAAACTAACACAAAAATCCCATAATGCAGTGTTTTACTTTCCTTAAAAAACGAAAAGGCCGATTACTCTTCAATCTAATAAGAAATACTAAAACAATCACTGATGTACATTGTTTGCAAAAAACAACCGAGTCATAGTCTAATTGAAATTGAAAACTCATGTGATAATTCTTTTTTGACTGTTTGGTCAATAACATAGTGCAACCAGTACCCAGGACCTATATGAAATTTAATAACTTGACTGTCATTAGGAGTGATTTATTTCATAGTGTGCAGCTTTTACACGGGCAAACTTATTTTATGTTCTTTTAATGTTTATTTACCTGCATATTCTTTGAATAATGCCTGTATATTATGCTAGTTACTTTGTGATCACGTGCATTTTATATGAAGACTTCTCAAGGATTAATCCTTATTTGATTTTAATTCCATGGTCATCTGAAGCAGGTGATTGTAGTGTTGGTAGTTTTCACTCCAGATCACGAGCCAAATTGAATTTTATCAGAGCACAGTTCAGCCACAGCATCGTTCCTTGGCAGGCTGTCAAGCAGTTTACTAGTACAAATTGCCCTTACTTTTGAAAGGAACTGATTTTTTCTATACACACTAAAAACATAGGTACATTGCGAATGATCGTAAAAAGGATTTTATGATCTATCACAACGAAAGTGGCATGCACCGTCAGAGAATCGAACCCTACTATTAAGCTAACCGGACGGTTTTCTGAAACATTTGGCAACGCATCATTCATTAAATATGCATTCTGGTCTGATTAAAATTAACCAGCCAAACAAAATGTGCTTGCAATTCATCTTTAAAAATTGTTCCAGTGTTTACCCTACAACCTTTACCAACATGTATATTTCATTGTGTTTGCATCTTTATCAGTGTTTATTCCATAATGTTTAATAAATACATGTGTAGAATCTTAAAACTATGTGTTAGAAAACATGTTAGCAAAGTCCTAATTTCATTTTTAAACACTTTAAAACACTTATAATAGCTGTTAACAGTACACAATTTTCACATTGTGATAATTGATTTGTCAGTTAAAGATCCTGTATGTTGTTATTGAGGTTGTGTACCACAGTTAAATGAAATTATATATTTATATATATATAATTATGCTTATTAAACAATTTTCAAACATCGAAGAATATGTGAAATATGTACTGCAAATATTTGTACATATTATATGTGATCACTAAAATATATGCATTGATTTCTTATTGAAAAATTTGACTTAGCCTTTATAAAAAATATTTTTTGATGATATATTTATTTATATGAAATGTTAAATTCGGAAATATCTTTATAAATAATGCTTTTTGGAACTTACAGAATTAATAAATCTTAATTTGAGCATCATATTTATAATATAAAACCATACAAATTGTGTTACAGGATCTTTAAGGGTCTGACTACCCTATTGAGTTTCCTACGTATATGTTTATGTTATCAGAAATGGCCACTATGAATCGTTTAATTTAGAATACTACAATTACTGTAAATTTTAGCTTTTCATGATTGTGTGTAAAATCATAACTGGAAGTCGCTGTCAAAGAGTAGGCTTATTAACTCCGTCAACCATTTAGATTGAATAATGACCCTTCGTGAAACAAAAACATAGCATTAGGGTAAAAATACACACATTTACTCAGCAACATTTCACTCTAAATTCCAGCAATATGTATACCAGTTTATAATGTTTTAATTTAATTATCTATATAATACATTTTTCAATTTTACCACACAAAAGTCATTATTGAGATTGTAACTGTTTATTTTCTACAAGTGTTCTGATTAATTGACAGGTTTGGTAATACCTTATTTTAAAATGAAATACTTTTTTAGAAGAAACGTTTAAAAATTTCATTTTACATAATTGAACATAGTAGAGAATTTGATCGAAACAAGCACTATAGTTAAACCATTTTATAAATGTCATTACTGACTTGCAAAATTAATATAAGTCTTTCCTCTTCCATACCATTCAAACCATGTGGTTCTGTCTCTTTCCAAAATTATTATTCTCAAAAATGTGGTATGTACAATAATGATCTCAAAATTTTCAAATACTCCATTGTTTACACATAACGTATGAAGACCTGTTACAATCAACATTTATATCATTTACAAGTTAAGTCCCTTGATGTCTTTAAAATTAAAATAAAGCTTGCTTTTAATGCACTCATATACTAAAAAAGAATATAAGAAGAAGTTACATACCTAACTTCTTCAAACCCTATTTAAGTTGTGCTGGGAAGGAGAGACATTTTTTTATTTTGACCTTATTTAAAATAATAAAATGCTGAATCAAGGAGCTTTATTTTACTTTGTAATAAAACTCCCTGTTTGAATCCAGGGTTTACATAACATTTATTTAGATGACTTATTCTACTCTCAATTTGGGTAAAAGATGGAAAAAAAACCAAAATGTTCAAATTTGATGAGACAGACTATATGAAATATAAAATGATATGAAGTTAAACCCTTATACATATTACTGATCAGTTGTTGATCATAAGAATTTGGAAAAGGCATTTGGTGTTCAGAGGAAACAACAACAGATCTATATAAATCAGAGCTATGGTAATCATAGGATATATTTACTAAGATATACTTGAACATTACAGACTTCATTTTTACTTTCTAAATGTATTAATCATTATACTGTAGTGTGATTCAACCAAGGTATCTTGATAATCTATTGTGATACATCTCCGGCAGTTATACCCAACTCTGATAATATTATGTTTCGTGGCATAATTTATAATTGTATGGTGGTTGTTTTGCGCCATATCAGATTTTCGCTCTGCGGGGCGCCGGACGGAAATACGACAAAGTCAACATTTTGTGTACGAAAAAATGTTCACTTTTTTTCTCGAGACGAAAATGCAGAAAATACGACAAAGTCAACATTTTGCTTCACGGTGCCTAAAGGCGAAAACATTCAAAATATTCAACAGTCACTACGTTGTTGTACTTTTTCTCCGTGATGCGCAAGGGGAAAATATGTCATGGCATAAATTAGCCACCATTTAAATAGACCTTTTTACGACGCGGTCCGTTGCTATGAAAAATCGACGGAATTAGAATTTCTCGCGCATGCGCAATCTGCGTAGGGCAAAAAACTGCATCACCCTACAAAGAAAAATAGTAGAAGTTCATAGACAATTCCGAGTTAGTTCAAGGTAAACGGTAGAAAATTATATAAAATAGTGTTTAACAAATATAGAAAAGGTGACTGCGAAGAATGCCATAAAAAGGCATGGAAAAGATACTTGTTTAAGAATTAACGATCACGGACCTGACACTGAGATCTTTTTTTAAAGAAGATGTGGAAATATATCTATTAGCAAATGAAAAGTCAACTTATTTGCTGTTGAAATATTTCATATAAAAACAAAAGAAATTTTATAACATGAAATCGAGATTAATAATCATTCTGAAAAAATATCTGAACAGGTGATAATGCATTTTTAGTATTCAATATACCTGATAATATCCTTTATCCGATTTGCCTGTGATGCAAACAGAAAAATTCAAGTCACATAAATAGATTTTAAATAATTTATTTTTTTTCCAAAATCTTGAGAAGTTAAGATGGGTTGTTTGGAAGAGATATAACACACATTTTATCCACTTCTTCGTAATACATGTTATTTTTAATAATGCACGTCACACAATTTTTCTCTTCTCAAAATCCATAAACATTAATCGGTGTATTTAAAAGTTACATAATTTACCATTTTAATAAGGGTAACTGATTAACTATATCAAGGTATTTATATGTCCCGGTTGAATGAACAACCGTTCGCGTGCCAATCTGTTTGACACTTGCCGCCTGACCAATCCGGTTATTTAAAGGAAGTGTACAATACAAATTGTGTAATATTATGTAATACAAGGGTAATAAAATTACATCTTACAATCACGGTCTGATAACGACATTTGCAAGCTAGAAACTTTACAAATATTTACACACAAATACAAATCCTTGTGTAATAAAACTGTGCAATTAAGTGTTTGCCCACCATATGTTTTTGCAAATTTTAATTTAAGGTTTGTATGAGGTAAAGTTTATGAAATTGCTTGATATGAATTATCTCATAAGTTTACATTTTACTTTATTAATAAATAAGATTTTCAATTGTTTTAATTAAAACATTAAGTTACTCTATGTTTGTAGAAAAAAGAAAAAAACTAATCATTATGCTCTATTGAATGATATTTTGAAGCTCTATTTAATGATAATTTGAAATATTAATTATTTTCCTAGTTCGGTTGGTTAACGGGTCAAGTCAATATGAAGGGAGACTTGAAGTTTGGCATGATGGGTCTTGGGGAACTGTATGCGATAATGAGTTTGATACACTGTCCGCAAGTGTTGTTTGTAAGATGTTGAATTATCCACCGTAAGTCAAATCTATAAAATACCAACAAACTTTTCAAATGTTTTTGTTTGAAGCGACTCATTTTTTGTGAGGTTTAAGACATGAAATGAACAATAGTAATTGATCGGCTTATTATATTCAATGGAAATAATTCATGTTCTTGTTTACGTCAAGCCAGTTTAAGACGTTTAATAAATTATTGCATTACGTTAAACAATACTTATATTTGACATACATTATATACATTGTATCTGAGTTTGTTTGATAAAAAACACACTTTTCTTTCCAGAAATAATGCTCTGGTAGTCGGGTCTGCACACTTTGGCGCTGGCACATTGTCAATTCATTTAGACGATGTCAAATGTACAGGAAATGAAAACACCTTATCTCAATGTACGCATAGGGGTTGGGGAACACATAGTTGTAGTCACAACGACGTTGTTGGCATATCATGTCCACCAGGTAACTTTTTAAAACCTACCACCGCTTTATTTAATCCTAAGAAGAATTTGTGGAAACAATTTCAATTAAATGTTGTAACAATGGTATGAAATTTCAGACTGTTTTTGTAGTTTATCGTTAGAGTGCATTTTTTCAAATTGACTTTTAAGTATTCCTCCTTCCGTACGTCTTTGTATATACATTGCATATTTGTCATGTTACTTTTATGGTATTTCATTATAATCTATACACTTTTGATGAACGCTACATGTCGATTCTTGTTGTATAATCTTTTTATTTTCGACCATATTTTGTAAGGTTTTCGCCTTGCATTTCTTGATTACTTTAATTTTCCACACTATATTGTCACACATGTAAGCAAAAAAGATAATGAAATAACCATGAACGTTGTTCTCATAAAACGATACTAAAGGATATCTCAAAGCAAACCATCGAATAACTCTCCCTGTATCTGCGGCTCTTTCCTAAACATATCGTGTGAAATAAAGTTTAAGTGAAATCTTTAATATAAAGATAATGTGTATTTTTTTAGTTATGACTTTATCAAAAATAAGGTATAGTTTGGTTTGGTTTGTAAAACCAAGGGCATAAAAGTTGCCATGTTTTGCATCTTAGCGACTGAACCAATTCAAATAAGGAAGTCAAAATAAAAAATAATTTTTATTGTCGCCAATCCTATCTCCCTTCTATTATTCTGTAAACTATTTTAATGAAATAAAGATATTGCCTTACTCCACAATATTTAATTGTAAATAAGGAAATGCGTAAGGAAAGTGGTAGGTATACATCAAAGTTACCTGACTTTAAAGCTCGATATACCTTTATTTACAAATGCTTTCGTTATAAAGTAGAATAGTAAAAATAGTGTGCAAATTGTACACTTCTTAGAACATGTACATTATTAAGTCAGCAAACAAATATTGTCTTATTGAATCTGAATTGAGTTTTGTCAACGTTATATATATCCCGTCCTTGATGATTAAAGGTAAAAAAAAAATAACCTCGGATACTTGCACCTTCAAAGTTGATACTTGTTGTTTATAATTGTAATTGTACATTAACGGTACCTGACTTACATGATGTGCGTACTTATAATCCGTGCTTTTTGTTTGTTTTTTGTTTTTGTTTTTTTTATGTCCCACTGACCGCTTATTAACATATTCGATCCCAAGAACACAAAGTTTGGATGGGCTCTACTTGAACAAATTTGCTACGTCGGTAAGTAAGTCAAGCGGTAAGACTGTCAGGACAAACGGGAAGACGTTTAGTACCGAACATTATAGTAGATAAAAGTAAATTCTTTTAATTCCGTTTTTATGCTATGACTTAATTGGAAACATTTAAACATAATAAGTTTCCTTAAAATGCTTATTTGTAGTAATCCACTTTGTCCACTATAGATCCTTAATCCCTATTTTCTTCATACTTTGCTCAAGAATAAACCATAATAATGTTACGTGCAGAACCAATGCTGCTGATGTTCCGACTTAATATCAAATGCTAGACACTTCCACGATTGCTTTAAAATGCTATTTCTCTTTTATGGAATTGTTTCCGAACTTCACTGAAATAGTTTTATTCTTAACAAGAAGATATACAGAACTTATGCTCATGAAAAAAGAAAATATTATGATCATCCTAATTGATATGCAAAAATATCAAATATATTTTATGCTATTCTAGATGTCCGATTGGTGAACGGGTCAAATCAATTTGAAGGGAGACTAGAAGTTTGGCATAATAAGCGATGGGGAACAGTCTGCCATGATCATTTTGATGAGCGCGATGCAACTGTTGTTTGTAGGATCCTGAATTATCCACAGTAAGTAACAATTATTATCAACCTTTTTCCGAAAATGCAAATATGCATGTTATAATAAGAAATATTCAATTAACGTCTTTCATATGGATTTAAGATAAAACAATGATGAACCTAAGCATATGATCAATTTGTTTCATAATGTTGATAAAAACTCAATCAAGTACAACGTCCAGCATGAAAACAGAGACGGTATTCTTAAAACTTAGCATTATTCAGTTGCCGCTTGTTCGAAGCAGATATTTTAAAATATGTCAATGTAGAATTGTTCTAAGCACATTGGCAAAGCTGGCATTCAATAATGGGCAAACCATATGACTCGCACTATATCATGACGAATATATCCAAAAACCCAAATTCAGACAAACAATAATGCTTTCAAATTAAAGTTAATGAATCTCATTTAAGACTTTAAATCAACAGAAGCAATCTACAAAAATTGTTAAGTGCATACTCCGCTTAAAAATGACTTTTTTTAAACAACAAGTTAGAAGTAAAAATCGGAAAATACTATTCACGTTACAGTGGTGCAATTCACTTTATTTACTTTAAAATGTATACCTTAATTGTTGTTTGTTTACTGAGTAGCGTCTTACGTTTTCACGTTTTGAAACATAAACACAACAGCTACAATATCACCAAAATCTAATATATGACAAAGTGAAGCGTGTAGCGAAATTTGCTATGCCTTTCACTTTGAAACATCTCATCGATTATCCGGCGACCGATATGTTGCTATTCTCCGAATACGGGCAAATAAAACGATTCTTAATTTCCCGTCCTTTGAACAATTAAATAATATTTTCCACTGCTGCAAAGAGACAATCGCATGCTTTTAAGAGGCCTCAGAAATGCAATCATTTTTTAATTTCAAAAACTATTATATTTTTGGTATCTTGTGACAGTTTCCAAAACATATTCTTTGCCATATACATCACCTATCTTTTGCTGATTTTGTTTTTTTGAAAGTCTTTTTTGGCATATATTAATTTGCTTACATTGAATCGGACTGAAATGTCATACCTTATATATCATGTATGCAGTGAGAACTTTAGAATGCCTTTGAAACTGAGATATATGTTTAACGATTCAATCTGTATAAAAGAGCATAAAAGAATTTAAAAAATCTATTTCCCAGAAACAGATCATCCATATTCGTTTCTTTGATGTTATTAAGAAATAAAAAATGTTAAACTCCATTGCTTATGGGCAAAAACATATCAGCAGATAACAAACCTTATGCCGATATGTGCTCATAGATATTTCAACATATGTTTGAAGATCATTGCAAGAGCGGAATCATCAGGATATTGCACAGCAATCCGTATGGAAGGAATATCTGCCGGTTTTGTTATCCCTCGCCGATGGAATCGAGAGGAGGTATTGTTTTTGCGTTGTCCGTCCGTCCTTCCGTCCGTCTATCCGTCCGTTCTAATTTTGTTTCCGGGCTAGTTTGCTGCAACTGCTAGATGGAATTCAACGAAACTTTATTGGAATCATCAATACCAACAGAAAATGCGCATATCGTCGCCTTGTTCCGGTCCGACCCTTCAACACAGAGTTATGGCCCCTGAAAATGCAAATAGAGCAATAATCGTTTCCGTGCTATCTCTTTGCAACCACTGGCTGGAATTCAACGAAACTGTATAGGATCGTTCAATACCAAGAGGAGATGCGCATATTATTGCCTGACTATGGTCACATTCTTAATCACAGAGTTATGACCCTTGATTATTTATTCAGTATGCATATAGAGCAATAATCGTTTCCCTGCTATTTCTCTGCAACTACTAGCGGAAATTCAATGAAACTTCAAGGGAACCATCAATACAAAGAGTTGATGCCCCTATCTCATCCATTCCAGCAAAAAAGTGTTCTTAGTTTTAAACCAAGTCTTAAGTTACTCAGGTTAAACACGCATAGATAGCACCAAACCCTTTTTATGTCCTTTTTATTTTCTTGTTTTTTTTTTTTTTTTTTGCTCTTCCGGTCTTTTTTATACCCCTCAAAATTGTATCAACCATACTATATAATTTGGTAGATTGTTTTGCATAACTCAAACTGGAATGAAATCTATCTGTGTAGTAATAATATATTACAGTGTAACTTCTGAATTCCGGAACTTCTAAAATCCGGAAACTTCTGAAATCCGAACATTTTTCAGGGTCCCGAAATTTCTCTTTCAATTTTCAATGTAATAAATACCTCTGAATTCCGGAACTGCTATATTCTGAATTCCGAAAGATTTTCTGGTTAAACTGGTGAAATCAATTCAAATTTGCTTCCGAAATCCGAAATTTAAAAAAAGGTTTGAAAAAATATTATGAGATTATAAAACTTTCAAAATGTCAGTATCTTCCAATTAGCAGAAACCATTTATTTTGACACCTCAAAACCTTACAATCAACACCTTACAATCACAACTTTTTAAGCATGTCAAACATTTGATTGAAGTGTAAAAATTAAAAAAAGAGAAGTATATTGTGATGAAAAAACAAAAGAGTAAGGTTATTATTAGCTGGTACAACATGACATTATGTTGTTATATCAACAAATTTAGTTATAGGTGATAATGAAATTTAATATACAATGTATTTATAACTTTTTAAAAGTCCTACTATTTTGCCATTTTATGAATTTAATAAGCTTTCTATATTTTTCATCATGTCTTAAACAATTGGTGTTCAATATTAATATAATGTTTCTACTTGTCCAGATAAATACGAACTTCTGAATTCCGGAAACTTCCAAATTGCGAACTTTTTGGCTAGTCCCACAGGTGTTCGGTTTTCAGAAGTTACACTGTATTTCCTTTTTTATTCTTTGAAATTTCACATGTTCACAAATTTTGGTTCCTGACTATGCCAATTTTAAAACTTTATTAACAGATAAGACATGCACGTACTTTTAATTGGATGAAGTGAAATTGAATGTTCTGTTGTACAAATTGGGATAAATATGTTCATGTTTATGAGGTTGTATATAAATGGAAAGATAATTCATTTTTATCTATTAAGTGGGCAACAATTAGCTGTTAGAAAACTTCTTTTCATTATTTTGTAAAAAGTAATTGGGAGTTTAAAAGTTAGATAAGAAATTTATATTGGTAAAATCCTTACAATGAATGCTACATTCCTCCAAATATCATAATTTTTGATTTTTGATAAATATCCACAAGTGAGGTAACATTGTAGAATGACTTTTACAACTAAGGAACTATTAAAAGCAAGTTTTTCGATCTCATTATTTTTATAGGAGCCTTTTACTCATTTTTATAATTGCAAATTACAAGATTCTCTCTGAACTCAAGCTATTTATATAATTAATAATTCTTTGAATATACAGATACATATTAAAATTTCCATTCTTTTTAAAGGCTTGAAACTTTGTAGTATTAAAAATAATAATGATCTGTACGATTTTTTTAGTGTTTATGAACTATTAATATATTGCTCTACACAAATGTTTTAAACTAATAAAACTTATATCTTTGCATACCATATACTAATACTGTAATTGTAAGGTACACTGGGGATGCTCCCGACCCCTTTGTACCTATGACGGGGTCAATAAAATTACAAATTAAAAAAGAAGAGTTGATGCACATATTGTTGCCTTGCTTAGCACATACCCTTCATCACTGAGTAATGGCCCTTAGTTAAATATGCGGTATGTATATAGAGTAATAAACGTATCTCTTAGTAACCACTGGCAGGAATCTGTGTAAACAATCAATGCAAATATGGAAACCACCAATATTAAATGGAAATGCGCATATCCTTGCCTTGTTTCAGTCTTATTTTTTAACACTGAGTTATGGCCCTTGGTTAGTTATGCAGTATTCATTTAGAGCAATAATCATTTCTGTGCTATTTCTCTGGAACTACTGACTTGAATTCAGGATAACGTTACGGAAACAATCATTGCCAATATGAGATAAGCATATAATCATCTAGTCACTGGCAGACCATTCAACACAGAGTAATGGCCCTTTATTAATTATGCAGTATGCATATAGAGCAATTATCGTTTCCTTGCTATTTATCTTTAACTACTTGCACGAATTCAATGAAACTTTATGGGAACCATCAATACCAAGAGGAGATGCTTATATTGTTGCCTTGCTCCGGTCAGACCCTTAATCACAGAGTTATGTCCCTTATTTAGTTATGCAGTATGCGTATAGAGTAATAATAGCTTCCGTGCTATCTCTCTGCAACCACTCAAAGAAATTCAAGAAAACTTTGTTGAAACAATCAATACCAATAGGAGATGAGCATATACTCATCTTGTCCCGGTCAGACCCTTCAAATGAGAGTTATGGTCCTTGATTAGTAATACAGTATGCATAAAGTGCAATAATTGTTTACGCACTATTTTGTCTCTACAACATCTTGCTTGAATACAATGAAACTTTATGAGAACTATTAATACAAGATGAGATGCGCATTTCATTGCCATGTTCAGATCAGGGGTGCGTTTCATAAAGAAAAATTTTGGACCGGTGCAAAACCGTGATAAAACTGCGTTTCAAGAAAGGCTTTAAGAACAATTTTAAGACTAAACTTAGGACTATTCCTATGGGTGCCTCAGGGTACTCCTAACTTTTTTCTGCAGTCATAAATACAAAAACAAGTGCTTTAAAACATTTCAGCTCTTGTTTTACTGTATGATATAAATATATACGTAACAATGGAGAGCATAGTATAGAAAAATTAATTAATACATGTAATATTAAAAAAAAAATTGTCAATGTTATTATTACAAAGATTTAATATGAATTATGAAAAGTTTTGGCTATGTGTATCTGACTTAATTAAATAATTTTAAGGTAAATAAAATATTTGTTAAAATAAACATGATCATTTTTGCTAACCAGTGTAGCAGAGTTTCTTTTAATATTTAAATATTTACCATGATTTAAGAGGAAATAAATTTTCCTGGCTACCCCCCGTTGAATTTTAACCCGGTTTTAACAAAGAACGCATTTTAGTTTTTTGATC